TATCAACTGATATGGAAGTATTTCAATATTTTAACAAGCAGAGGGTGGATGCTACACATCAGCCCTGTCATCACCATCGCTCGGAAGGAGGTAGGGAAGCTTTATTTCCAGTTCTGTAGGTGAAGAAATTGTGCAGAGGAGTTAAGTGACTTCTGCAAGGTCATGAGGCTAATAACTGGCCAAATTTCTGAAGGCAGGTGCTTTGATTCTAATTTCATGTTCATCCTATAACACAAGCTGCACATGTGGCCTGATTGTGAGGAAGGTTATAACCTTCTTGGACAGATAGGCTTATGTGTGAAAAATGCATACTATAGAGAAGTGCAGGCCTGGATTGCCTGGTGTAGAGACGGAAGCACAATTGTCTGAGAAGGGTTCCTTGAAGGTTGACTATAATCAAGCTTCCAAGGCCAAGAAGCCGTCGGGGAGAAGAAGGGAGAGTGAGCAGGGAGATGGGCTGGGGAGGTAAGACTGGGTGCGGATGGAACTGGGTCTGGCTGAGGGAGAGGCTCTCTTTGGTGAGCAGAGAGGCTGCCATTAGGTGGGGGAGAAAAGAAGACCCTGTTGTCTCCCTCCTCTGGTCACTTATTTGTATGGCCAGCAGGGAGAAGTCAGGACAGAGAGTTTTAAGAGATTGGCAGGAGAAAGACAATGGCATTTGTTGAGTAACCATCCACTATAGAGTAGACACAAATGTACTTGACCATCCACTGGGGAGCCACATATCTAGCCCTGGTGTCAGGCCGTGGCGCCTGCATCGAAGGGCAGTTACCACCTGCTATAAACTGAGTGTTTGTGTTGCCCCCAAAGTCATGTGTTGGAATCCTAACCCCAGAATGCAATGGTATTAGGAGGTGGGCTTTTGAGAGGTGATGGTCATGAAGGTGGAGCCCTCGCGGCTAGTATTAGTGCCCTTATAAAGACACCCCAGAGAGAGTCCCTGGCCCCTGCTGCCATGGGAGGCACAGCGAGATGACAGCTGTCTATGAGTCAGGAGGCAGGCCCTCACCAGAAAAAGAACCTGCACCGTGAACTCCCAATCTCCAGAACTGGGAGAAATACATGTTTGTTATTTACTAGCCACTTTGTCCATGTATTTTTGTTATAGCAGTCCCAGTTGACTCAGACACCATGTATGCTGCACAGCATGGTATCAGATCATATAGCCTGTTGTTTACTGTCTGTCTCTCCCACTAGAATATAAGCTCTAGGAGGATGAGGACCTGGCTTAGTTCACAGCTGCATCTCCAGTGTCTGGGAGACACTTCGTATTTCAAAGGGCAGTGAGGAAGGGTGGCCTTGGAACACCCTCCCAGCGGAGGCTCCCTGGGATGGGTGGAGTCAAGATCCCAGAAGGGCTGCTTGGCATCAGCACAGGAGCACACTTGAACTGCAAGACCCAGTGCTCTCCACCTCTGCCCGCTGGCTGAGGCCTTGGGAGCAGGGGCCTCAGCAGCTTTAGCAGAAAGGCCCAGGTTCTCAGACAAACATCTGGCCGTCTGGTCAGCCAGCACGGAAAGGGCCCCGATGCATTTCCTGTTAGCACACTCGGTTGCCAGAAGTGGGTTTTCTCCTGTTTCCCAAAATAAGAAGTGAGTTAAGTTATTTACCTTCTATGGCATCGTCGGAGCTGCTTTGCCAAATTCTCAAGGTTAAAAATAATTTTTTTCTTTTGTATTCATGTACATTTGTGTCTACTCTATTCTCTCCCACAGAACCATTGTGTGTGTATGTGCTTTGAACACAGTTTCAAGAGCACCCTGAACATCTGAATGGGGTTCCCTCTCGCACAAGGAGGCTCCTCTCATCTTGTTCCACAGTGTCTCCCACCAGCAGGCCGATTGGAGCTTTTCATCAAAGAAACTGGATAACTGGGTTCCACTGAAATGTTTCTAGTTAAAGTATTAAATAAATGTGCTCAGAGGTGGTTTCTGTTATGAATGAGTAAGGGTCACCGCCCCCCCACATCACACACACACACACACACACACACACACACACACACACTCTCTCTCTCCCCATTCTCATCCCATTTTAAATGTTACATTGAAACAAGTTTGAAGGCTTTTTCTTGGTCCATCTTTGTAAATAATTTGCGGGCAGCTTCTCATAAGGACACTGGGAAGGGACAAAAGTGACTAACGGCTTTGTTCGTGGCTAAAGGGCTGTTCTATTTCAGCTCACGGCAGCTATCAGACCCTCCATGCAGGGCCCTTTGGAAAGCAATCATGACAACCGCCTGCCCCCAGCCAGGGCAAGACGTGTTAGGTCAGCAGAACTTTAAATCAAACACACTTAGTGTAGGCACAACTTCCATTTTGAAAGTTGGGGGGGAAATCAGGAAGCATTTCTTGGCAATTAACTTAAAATATTTCAAATGAAAACACATGTTCTTGAGAGTATGGGAGAGAGTACAGGTAGCATTAAAGCATGTAAACAACTCTAATAACAATGATATAGAGACTCCTGGGACAGACCCTTTCAATTCAAGGCTCAGGCAAGGCTGTTCTCTAAAAGTTGGCCTGTGCCCCCTTTCTGGAAGCATTTGTCGCTCTGGAATCCAAACCCAAAGACAGTTCATTGCAAAAAGAGACAAACAGCTGAAGACGGAGCTTTGAGGCCAACCCTGAAGAATATGAAATCATTTTGTTGATGTGTGTAAACTACTTTAAATAAATGAAAGCTTAATATTTGGGAGCTGGACTTTGTGTGTTTGAGACGTGTAGCTTTTGGTAGATGATTTTAGTTTGTACTCCTTTAGGTCAGAGCGCCATGTGTTGTCTCAGTTACAACTGCTTGACTTTCAAAGATTATGGGAAAGTTCCCTTGAAAGATTCATATGTGGAACAGAATGAAGTCAGAAGGCATGAGGGGCTGGAGCATGCTTGTCACATGCCCTGTTGCTTTGATATAGATTTCAGTCCCTCCCATTATATATGTTCCTCACATAAACAATTTGAGAACAAATAGCAGAATCTGAATGATTTTTCAAAGTATTCTGAGGTGTGTGTTTTTTTCCTCCTGAGAGAAAACTATTCTAAAGAACATTCCAGTGGTTCTCAACCTTCCTAATGCCGCGACCCTTTAATACAGTTCCTCATGTTGTGGTGACCCCCAACCATAAAATTATTTTCATTGCTACTTCATAACTGTAATTTTGCTACTGTTATGAATCATAATGTAAATATCTGATATGCAGGGTGTATTTTCATTGTTTGCGACCCACAGGTTGAGAACCGCTGCTTTAGGCAGCCATGTAGGTTCTTCGAAGGGTCTTCAGCTGCTAGGACCTCTCAACGGTTCAAGTTTACTCTGGTGATCACAAGTGAAGGATGACATTTCAAAAAAACCACTGTGGCAGCCAAGGCAGATTTTGGAGACATGACCAAGAAATGGCGAAGGTTGGAATAGAATACTTTACCATTGATTGTGTGAAATAATTTCCAGTTTTACAGGATTAAAAGAAAGTCCAGGCCTATGTAGAGTAGAAGAAAGTCACTTCCTGCTGCACTCAGAGCGGCCGGGCTCCGCAGGAAGTAAGGCTGGCCTGCTGCCCTGCCTGGCCTGGGCTACCAAGGCCGGGACTGCTGGCAGATCCCGTTCTAATAGGACACAGACCACCTGGGAGGAATCACTCAGCTAAGGGGAACTGTAACATGGAAGTGGGCAATTAAGAGTTATTTTGGCTTCTAGACTAAAGCCTTTGCAGGCAACTGCCTCTCCCAGGGAAGTCCTCTACCCTCAGGTTCTGTCCTCAGCCCTGTGGGTGAAGGGTAAAGCTGCCCAAACAAAGCCAGGCAGGCCTACGCCAGAGCCTGACGCTGCTTTCTAGTGAGGAAGCCTCTGCCTCTATGTCCCCAAGGCCCACATCGACATCGACATCAGCAGGCCCTCCAGCTCCACTCACCCCGGTGCAGCACGGCCTCTGCAGTGCGAGTTGTGCGTCCCAGGCCCCATGTTGCTCCCAAGGCAGTGGACTCTGGCCTGAATGCCATGCACTGTTCCTACAGGGAATGGGTAGAGGTCTCCTTACACTTTTAAAAATAACATAGAGGAGGAAAACTTCCTTTTGGTCTCTTAGGTTCTCTGGCTGGTCTAAGAATTTAACTGAAATAAAGCAGATCAATGGGAGAAAAGTATACAAATTTCATATTTTCACATGTACATGGGAATCTTCAGAAGGACAATGAAAACCACCCAGAAGCCATTAGGCTCCCAAGCTTATAAGGGAAATTGTGTGCATGTGACAAGACAAAGGCTCTTGAGCTAGCGACAATAAATTGTGGGACAGTGACTAGGGAATACATGGGGGGCGGGGGGGGGGGG